GAGTGACAATTACCTTTCATGGACAACCTCCTAAAAACTTGCGCATGGAAATACATTCCAAACCCTGAGCTTATGAGCTTATGCCTTACTAATAATTGTACTATACTATATGCATTTACTAAATGTGCAGGATAGAGGCATAAGTATTAAGACATAGGATTCTGATATGATATGATGAGGTAGGCATCATGGTCTGGCTGAGGGTTCTGTATCTCAAAGCTCACACACCCCTTTAGCCTTCCTAAAATACCCTTGGGTATTTTAGGTGAGATCCGAAACTACATCGAAAACATACACCCGACCAACTTACTCCGTTGAGTCTTAGGGCATCTACGTCCAACTAGAAACTGAAGTGCCTTGGCACTGACTGTGATATTCGAACCGCACAATCGTTATCTGCTAAAGTAACTTAGGTATCCTGACTATGTTTCGAGCATCAATCAAGGCTAGTTTATGTCATCTTGGTTATTATTGTTTCTAGCTGTTATGAGTTTATTACTATTCTCACTTGTAGTTTTATTTCATGGTATTCTAGTATTATTGGGTCCTTCAAAACTATCCCTTAAGACCCTTTGGTTTCTTACCCAAAACTATTCATGGGTATTGATATTAAACTCCTCAATATCAGTACTTACCTTTGGCTATCGATACTAACCTTTGTATATCGATACTTGATAACTCTAAAAAGAGTTATCATATAAGTTCTTTATGCGTAGGTCTAGCTTGTGCTTTAGTACTCTTATGAGCATTTTAGGATCATATTTAGTATATTTTTACATATTTTACATCATGAGAACTAAGTGGGTAACTTAGGATTGATTTACAATTTTATTACTGAAAATTGTTGTACTAATGCTATATGTTGGTTGAAGTTACAGGGAATGCTGTGATGATGCTGTAGCAATGGGTGAGTTATCTGGTGGTTGCAAGAACCTTTTGGGTGGGACAACTAGCGAGGGCATCTGTCAAAAGGCTGGATTTACAAGCAACATGACATAATCTAATTTAATGAAGGCCACCTCCTCTAGCCTATAAATTTGAGAGTTAGTTGAGCCAAGAAATTATCCATTCTACCACTTACGAAGAGATCTCCACATTATATATTTTAAAACCATGGTAGCCTAAGTCCCTCAATAGAGATGCGTTGTAGCATTTGGGAAGCTTCGCCGAGAAGCATCGACACTCACCAAGATCACTGTTCTAAGCTTGTTGTTTACTTGAGATATGAGAATATCAAGTAGCTTTGGGATGTTAAAAACCTCATGGATGATATTTGGTTTAGGTTTTTTATTTTTGACTTATGCTTTGCTACTATGATCATATACTATTGCTCTTTAAGATTACTATTAGAAATATTAGTAATTTCAATGCATGAATTATGAATGATATTATAGAAATAAATATTGTTAATAATTCTTGTACTTACGTCAACATTGGTTTGTATAGTAACATTTATGTATGTTGAAAAGCATGCTGCCTTTGATGTAGCTTTGTTAATAGTTTGATTACTTTAATTAGTGAAGATTAATTAATGATAATCAAATGTTTTAATCATTGCTAAACACATGAAAGTAGAAATCATTGCATGATCATATAAATAAATGTCACTTATTATTTCAAACCATTTGATAAGTGACTTAATGCTTCCCATGATACTGCAATATTACTTGATATTTTATATTTCGTCTTCTTCAAATTACTATTTGTTTATTTATACACATCAACAACCCTTTTCACACTTAGACTCTATTATAATTAGTTTGCTCCTGTAGGATTCGACACTTGAAACTTACTAAGTTTCCACTTTATTCCTTAGTTTACGAACATGTATACTTGCATTGAATGATGTATCTATTTTGTAGCATCAAGTTTTTGGCGTCGTTGTCGGGGAGCATCAGTTTTACATTTGAGTTTATTTTATTATTTACTTATTTGTTTCTTTTCTTCTTGTAGGTAGTTATCATCTTATTTAGTTTTTTTAGTTTATGCCCCAAAGTGACAACGAGCTGAAGTCTTTCAATCCAGAAATAGAACGAACATTCCACTGTCGTCGAAGAGAAGTTACTAGACATCAAGAAAACATGAATATTGATGGTAACAATGCCCACCTCTGCTACAACATGGGATAAAGCTGAATTGTCGACTGATAATGGAGTTGGGTAACAAAAATTTTACAACATGGATGAACACTATCGACCTATTAGGGAGCATGTAGCGCCAATACTCGATGATCTACATTCTGGCATTGTTCGACCAACAATTCATATGGAAAACTTTGAGCTAAAGCCGGTTATGTTTTAGATGTTGTAGTCAATAGGGAAATATGGTGTGTCATTTACTGAAGACTCTAGAGCACACCTCCAAGCGTTTATGGAAGTTTGTGATTTATTTGTGCAACAAGGAGTTCCTAAAGAGGCATTAAAGATGAAACTATTTCCTTACTCACTCCGCAACAAAGCTAGAGCTTGGTTAACATCGTCTCCTTTGGGTGTTATAGCATCCTAGAATGAGCTAGAATAAAAGATTTTACTTCAATTCAACCCACATAATATGAATGCCAAACCTTAAAACGACCTCACTTCATTCAAGCAATTATAGGATGAAAGCTTGTACAAAGCATGGGAAAGATTCAAGGGCTTGCTGCGAAAATGTCCAATGCACGGATTCCCACATTGGAAACAAATGGAAATATTCTATAATGGGTTGAACATGCACACTCAAATGGTGGTTGATGCTTCAACAAACAAAGCATTGATAGACAAGACATATAATGAAGCCTACAATATTCTGGAAAGAATATAAAACAATGACTACCAGTGCCCAAATACGAGGAACATGTTCGGTAGACATAATGTTGCAATAATGGATTCAGATGCATTCAACTCTATGGCCTCTCAAATCTCAACATTGAAGGATATGGTCAAGAAGATACAAAAGCCATGGGAATTTATGAGGTAAAAGCTACATCTAGTATTTCTTGTGCTTATTGCGGAGATAATCACAATTTTGAACAATGCCTTCAAAACCCTGAATCCATCTTTTATGTAAAAAATTATAATAAGAATGATAATTCCTATGACAACACTTATAATGCCAATTTTTGAAACCATCATAATTTGTCTTGGAGGAGCCAAAATGTTGCCAATCCGAAATAGCAGACGATGTCATAGCATTATAACCAGTAACAATATAATCAACAGCAAGTGATGCCACAATATTAAACACAACATCAAGCTACACAACAAAATAAAAGGTAAAACTATCAAGGATAATGTTCAACGAAAACTTTCAACCACTGATCTCTAAAAGCCTTATCAACATTATTAAGGGCTTTAAAGAGTCAAGTTGACCAAGTGGTGAATTCTTTGAGTAATAGGCTATAAGGAACGCTGCTCAGCGATACTGAAAACCCAAAGTAGCAAGGAAAAATGCGATGAGCATTGCAAGGCTATTACTACTCGAAGTGGTATTAATATTGACAAACCTGTTGAAGATCCTAAGAAGAATGATGAAGGGGATACAAAGCATGACAATGGTAAAATTATGGAAGTTGATCTTGAGACGCCCACTGTTAATTCCACAAAGAGAAAATCAGGTTAGTTTAGTAAACCTGAACCATTACCAGTAGCAATACCTACTAGGCTACTAGACGCTCTATCCCCAACGCTACAACAACCTCAACCAAGAATGCCTCCACCATTTCCTCGACGATTCATAAAGACAAAAGTGGACCAACAATATAAAGCCTTTATTGATGTACTTCGCCAATCAACAATCAACATTTTGTTGATTGAAGCTTTGGAGCGAAATTTGAATTACATCAAACTCATGCGAGAAGTCTTTTCTAAGAAGCAAATGCTTGGAGAATTTGAGACTGTTGCTCTAGCCGAAGCTTGCAGTGCTATGGCCACGAGTAGGTTACCACCTAAACTCAAAGATCCATGGAGTTTCACTATCTCTTGTGTTATTGGTGATCGATTTGTAGGTGAAAAACGTTATGAACTGTCAAATAAATTCAGTTTTTTCAAAATAAATAAAACTGAGGAAGACACATTCATTTGTGTTTGCATATCCGAGCGATGTGACTCCAATGGCGGTTGTGGTGCATTCCAACGGAGAAATACAAATTCTCCTCGAGGAGTTATTTCTCCTGGCAGAACAAAGTAAGGTGCCACAGTAGTGCCGACAAGCAATCCCATCGAATCCAAGCACTGCCTCATCTAAGCCATCCATAGAAAATGCATATGTAAAGTCCGAAACATCAAAATTAGCTATATGAGAAGTAAGATGAGTAATATTGGGGCTAGGGATAAATGGGCAATTAGATTGAATGACAATCTCAAAAAAACGGGGAACCAAAATCCCAAATTTACATTCCTACCGGTTAACATACACTAAAGAAAGAAAAATTCAGTCATACTCATGGAAGAAGAAGAAGAATTTCTTTCCGAGTAGTTATAAAAAAATTCAGTCATACTCATGGAAGAAGAAGAAGAATTTCTTTCCGAGTAGTTATAAACAAAAAATCTATGTACGTAATGCAATGTCAGATCGTGGATATGAATAGCTTTAGTCAAGCGGGTATTGAAGGGTACATCGACAAGTTCGGTAAGTATCGCGTAAGCAGAATCTGCATCAAACTCCTATGGCATCTCAAGTAAAGTAGTCAGATAATCATGATTCATGACATCCACCACAAATCCTATGGCAAGATTAAATGTACAAATCGACATTTGGAAATGATAGCCACATAAACAGAAAGAAACTACATCAAGAGAATCGACATTGATAAGATGATGTTGTGAAGATGTAAACGTAGCATAGAATTCAAAGGCAAGTTCATAGAATGTGCCGTATTTAATTTGAGAAAAGAAAGTTCAAGCAATTGATTCAAAATATGTATAAACAATGTCTCGTAAATGCAGATTTTCCAACGTCCAAGTTGGAATAAACTTACAAACACGAAAGGGATGATGTCGTACTGAATCAAAGTGAACCAGCTACTTGTTTTCATAGTGCAAATATCCTTTCAAGTTTTCTTTAATCGGAACTGCGGAGGAACACCCTCGATGGTTATAGTCAGGATTGTCCGACGCCAGTGGTGGACAGTCGGGAGGTGTTGGGAAATCGTCTGAACTGGACGCATGAAACGGAGAAGTGAGCTGGTCGGTGTGATAGTGAGAATAAAAAGTGTGCTCGGGTTGCCCTGTCGATAAAAATACGACAGTGAAATCCTCTGTAAAATCGAAAGCATGGTGATACATTAGTAATGGTAGAATCAAAATAGGTTTGAAACTTAGATATGGATATTGGTTTGATGTCGCTGAATGCATCGAATATGAAGGCACAATCGAATACCTCGGTCGAGAAGAATATGCCACGATCGGTATGGAATAGAATGAAGGAGACGATGATCGTAGAGGAGAATAACGACGATAATTGCTTGGGCCAGCCACGTATGATCAACACAAGCGATGGCCAACGGAAGGAGGAGAGGGTGGAGAAACATGGAACTTGGGCACAGCGGGTTGAGGCACTTGTGCTTACTGTCGACACCCACTATGGCGAAGAGGAGGAGACAACATTGGGTCCGATCACTCAGCACTTCCATGAACGTCGGGGTAATGAATCGTAGTCGGCCACTGAGTACCATCGATGGAATAACAGGGTTTTTGTTACCTTGGTTACAGGTTCAAATCATGTTGACGAAAGGCAACAGCGTAGACGGTTGATGAAGATTGGGGTGTCGACATTTCTAATCAGTGGATGACTTGGATGATGGTTTGTTGCTGTGAGTGTGGAATAAAGAAAAGTGAAAGAAGAAAAGAAAGAAGAGAAGATTTGGGCGGAGTTGGTGAAAATAAAATCAAAAGTGGGGAAATATTTCGGTCACATGGGTAGGTTTAGGAAAAAATATAAAAAAGTTGAAAGCAAATGAAATTTTTGTGATGCAAGGGATCATGTAGGGTCTACGCCATTTAATTGGCTGGTCAAAGGAGGAGAAGATAATGGAAATGTTTGAAATTGGGGGCAAGTACAAAAGAATGGGTGGCTGGATATTGATCAAATTTGGTGGGGGTAATTCTAACGTGTGCCGCGCCTACCTGGGTTCTTTTAACATGCACTGTTTAATGAAACAACACACTTCACTGCTGGGAGGGAATTCACATGTGTTGTTGTGCTGGGGGGTCTGAAAATTTGTTTGATTTGATCGAAAACACTACTTCCGACTCTGTTTAGTGGGTTGTATCCCAAGTCATTTGTTTAATGTCATTGAGCTCGATGACCTGATTCAAATTACATGTTCTTCTAAAGTGATTTCTTCAACTAAACAAACTAGAGCGTTCTCATAAAATGGGTTCAATATTTGATCGTTGACTTTAAACCGAACTCCTGAGTCATCTTTAACTTCGATCGCGTCGTGTAGGAACACTTGAGTTACCGTTAAAGGTACGAGCCACTTCGATCTAAGTTTTTTCTTTAAATATCTGAGCACTATCGTAAGTGCTACATATTTTCTCAAATTCTTGGATGTACAACTTGCACGCCTCACCAGTGCATCCATCCCCATGTTATATTGCTTTACTGCCCAATATGCCTTACGCTCTAACTCAACCGAAAAATGGACCAGGTTTTCAAAGATGAGACGATACAGTGACATTCCAATGGGGCCTTTGTATAAGGTTCGATATGCCTATAAAGCATTGATCAACTTCAAACTCCAATCCTTGCGGTCCGACTTGACTATTTTTCTCAAGAATCATTTTAATCTCTCAATTTGATACCTTAGCTTGTTTGTTTGTATATGGATGGTAAGATGTGGTAATTCTTTAAGTCACTCTATACTTCTTCATTAGTGCTTCAATGAACCGATTGACGAAGTGAGTCACTCTATCGCTTATTATTGGTTGCGGTGCCAAACCTAGAAAAAATAAAATTCTTAAGAAAGTCAATAATAGTTTTGGCATCATTGTTTCGGGTAGCCCTAGCCTCTACCTATTTAGAAACGTAATCGACTGCAAGAATAATGTATGTATTTCCAAAAGAAGAAATGAAGGGACCCATATAGTTGATTCCCCAAATGTCAAAGATTTCACATATATGAATTGGCCTGAGAGGTATTTCATTTCTTTGACTAAGATTACCTACTCGTTGACATATTTCACAAGCTTTGCAAAGAACATAAGTGTCACGGAAAATGTTAGACCAAAAAAATTCGTACTCAAGAATTTTGTGTGCAGTTCGCTTTGGTCAGAACTGACCATATCAAGAGTAAGAATGGTAAAAAGTGAGTATGGAACTTACCTCACTTTCGACAACGCATCGCCCAATTGCTTGGTTTGAGCAGTGCTTCTAAAGGTACAGATCGTCCCAAATATAAAATCAAGATTGTCGCTTAATCCGCTTAAGTTCGACTCTTGGTAAATCTATCAGCAACTTACCCGTGGCTTAATTTACCATGTCTATGAACCAAGGGGATGCCTTTACGATAACGTCAAACTTTCCTCTAGGAACTCTTCTCGGATTGGTGGATCAATAGTGGAGATTGGGATTCAGCTTAGATGATCGATTACCAAATTCTCGTATCATTTTTCCCCTTAATCCACATATTAAATTCTTGAAGAAGCAAAATCCAACAAATTAATCTCGGTTTCAACTCCTTTTTACTCATCAAATACTTCAAGCTGCATGATCAGAGAAAACAACAATTTTAGTGCTAAGAAGATTTGATCTAAATTTTTCTAACGCAAAAATGATAAAAATAATTCTTTTTTCATAGTTGAATAATTCTACTGCGCTGAATCTTGATGTGTAGGTGATGTCATCAGGTTCTTTTTCGATTCTTTACCCGATGAAATCTCTAACGCTTATATCCAAGGCATCACACATGATTTCTAAAGGGAATCCCAATGTGACGGTTGAACGATTATTATCGAAATGAGTTTTTCCTTCAAAATGTTAAATGACCCATTGCATTCTAGATTGAAGTAAAAAACCTTGTCCTTTTGCAGCTAATTGCACAAAGGTTCTCTACTTTGGAAAAGTATTTAATTAACTTCTGGTAAAATATTGCATATCCAAGAAAAGAGAGGACATCTTTCATAGTCGTGGGGTATGGAAGTGTGCGTATAATGTTGGTTTTTGCCTTATCTATTGCAATTCCATTAGAGGAGACAATATGACCAAGAATTAGTCCTTTATTAAACATGAAATGACATTTTTTTCTAATTAAGAACTAAATTAAATTCAAGGCAACACTTAAGCACATTAGTTAAAGTAAAAAGATATTGGTCAAAAGAGGTACCATAGACTGTAAAATCATCCATAAAAATCTCAATCCCTTTTCTGAAATAGTCAAAAATGATACTCAACATGCATCTCTGGAATGTGGCGGCTATGTTTCAAAGCCTGAAAGGCATGCGTCGATAAGAAAATGTGCCTAAAGGACAAGTAAACGTTGCCTTTTCCTGATTTATGGCGTCACCGGTATTTTGAAAAAAAACTTGAAAACCCATCAAGGTTGTAATATTGAGAGTGTTTGGCTAATCTCTCTATCATTTGATTTATAAAGGGAAGAGGGAAATGATCTTTTCGGGTTAAAGAATCCAACGTTCTATAGTCTATGTAGACCCTCCATTCGTTTTGCATTCGTGTTGGAACCAACTCTCCGTTTTGAGTTTTCTATTATCGTAACTCTGGTTTTCTTTGGGACTACATGGATTGGGTTTACTTAATTACTTTATGAAATTGGGTAAATGACATCGGCATCGAGGATATTCTGGATTTCTTTTTTTACCACTTTCATCATCGGCGGGTTTAGTCAACGTTAACCTTCTCGAGATGGTTTTGCACTTTATTCAAATTTTATGTTGTACATAAACGTGGAGGGACTAGACTCTTGATTTCAACTATAGTTGTAATACCCAAATTATCGGATAGGTGACCATAGTGAAATAATTTAAATTTTTGGTAGGTTAAAGTAAGTAAATTTAAAAGTATAAGGAAAGATTTAGGGAATTGTGTTTGAGACTTATTAATAAGAATGGAAGAATGGATGGGCAATTTAATCCTTTAGATGGAATGAATTTAATATTCATTTAGATTGGGTTATTAATAAAAGTGAATAGGAGAATTAAGAGGATAAGTCTGAAAGTTCTCTCCTCTTCTTCTTATACTTCACATTCCGTGGCCTCCATAGCTAAGGTAAAGATTCATCAATGTTGGTTTTTCCTTTAGTTTTGGGTTGGTTTTGAAACCTTAAATAATATAGAGGCTCAAGGAAGGTTTAAATATGATTAAAACTAAGAGATAAAGGTTTTATTTGAGATTTAATAAAATGGGTTTTTAAATGATTTGATAAAATATGGTTAGTTATGGAAGATTTAAGGCATTTTTCACTTGTCAAAGAAGTGAATAAGAGATTGGGAGCTTTAGCTGTGATTAAAAACAAGTTGGAAAAATTGGTGTGATTCTTAGTTTTGAGTGTTCTTTAGAAATTTTAGATGTTATGAGAAGATTTATGGATGTAAGTTAGTTGGATTAAGTAATGATGAGCGTAATGGTATGGTTGGGGATAAAAGTAATAGATTTAGGCGAAAATATGGTAAAAATCGAAGTGAAATGAGTACAATATGGGTAAAGGTATCGGTACTAGAACAATAGTACCGATACTATAGGGTTAAATTTGAGGAAAGATGATGACCACGATGAACAATATCGATACATATGCAAGTAGTATCGGTATTGAAGTGAGGTATCAATACCAAGAGGAAGGTATCAATACTATTATTGAGAAATGGATTTCAGAATATGAAAATGGTATCGATACTGAAGGGAGTATCGGTAGCACAATATAGAAGAATCGATACCATAGAAGGGGAACCGATACTAAGCAGTATGGAATTTTAGGTTAGGATGAACTTAAATAAAATTCAAGAATAATAGTACTTTTGAGTATTATTATTTTCTATAAATATTAGAAAGTATACTTACATTTGTATTGTGTGTGTGATAATGGATGCTTGTGTAGATCGTAATCAAGCTCCTGAGTTAAGCAAACAAAAAGGCAAGGATAATGTCACTGATTAGTCATATTTACATTATGGGAATAATAGTGAGGCAAACCAGGTGAATGCATTTATTATGTACTTATATCTTATGATAGTCATATATGCATTTTGCTTAATGTATGTATTGCATTTACCGTATGGGCACTATGTGTGCAACCTAAGAAATTCATAATAAGTTTATCAAATTTCCATATTGGCATTATGTGTGCAACCTAAGAAATTCATAATAAGTTTATGAATTTTCGTATTGATACTATGTGTGCAACCTAAGAAATTCATAATAAGTTTATGAATTTTCGTATTGGCACTATGTGTGCAACCTAAGAAATTTATAATAAGTGTATGAATTTCTGTATTGGTACTATGTGCGTAACCTAAGAAATTTATATTAAGTTTTTGAATTTTTGTATTGGCACTATGTGTGTAACCCAACGTAATTCATAATGAGTTTGTGAATTATTATATCGGCACTATGTTTGTAAAACCATAGAATTTATAATGAGTTGTAATATTCAATAGGTATTTGGATTGTTATAGTATACCCATGTTTAAAATTTACCTTATTATTGTTATGCCTCATTAAGTGATTATTTATTGTGTGTTGATTTCAAGCGTAGGTATTAGCACGAGCGGAGTAAGGAGTGCAACTGACATTTCTAATCAAGGACAGTTTCATCAGTAACTGTACGACAACTATGTCTACTTTTGATGTTATTAGATGGCATGTTATAGATTTATGAAAATGCTCTGAAACGTATTT